CAGCAACAACAACAACAACAACACCAACACCAACACCAACACCAACAACAACAGCAACAACAACAATACGTATAAGACTGCTCGTTCTTGCTTACCCGGGTGTTATGCAAAACGAGTTCCCCACACCCTCGATACCCGCCCTTTTCGTCTTCGATCACACCCCCTTTGGGGGGACTATTTCTCTATACGGGGGGCGGCGCGCTTAGACAGGCGGGCAAACCTGAACGGGCGGACAAGTCTTCGTGGGCGTACATGTGCCCGCCATTGGAATTGGTGTGGGCCCTGCAAAAAGAGGAGGGGGAGAACGAAGGAGAGTGGGAGGTAGGGGAAGGGACGAAGGAAGAGGGAAAACGCCAGGAGATGAGGAACGAAGACGGGGGCGGTCGATTAGAGGCAGAGAGAAAGAGAGAAAGAGAGAGAGAAAGACAGATAAGAGAGGTTGAGAAAGAGAAAGAGAAAGAGAAAGAGAGAGGGGAGAGAGAGAAAGAAAGAGGGAGGGAGGAGGCAGGAGAGGGGAGGGAGAAGGGAGGAGGGAGAGGAGGGAGAGGGGATAGGGCAGAGAGGCATAAGGATGAGGGAAGAGAGCAGGCAGAGAAAAGGGAGGAGAGGAGGGAGGAGGGAGAGGGAAGAGGAGCAGGAAGGTGAGAGCGTGAACGTTCGAGGTAGTCCTAGGCGAAAACGCCATTCCTGAAGGAAGTCTCGGGCGGGAGCCCACGACGGGCGGGCGATCCCCTGACGGGCGGGTCGGGCGGGTGGGACATTCAACCGGGATGCCTGAATATGGCGAGAGCGCGATTACTAAGTACATTGTAACGGCGTCCTTGGCGCAGCGTGTTTCCTGAGCGTCGAAAGCGCGATTGCTGAATACATGGCAGTCACAGGCGAAAACGAATTTCCTGAAAAAATGTGGAGGGTAATCTGGCGGGAGCGGGGGTCTTGATTAAATTGCAAGGGGGTCTTGATTCAATCGCGAGGAACTTTCAAGTGGGAGCGCCGTTCCTGAGTAAATTGTGAGGAAGTCTCAGACGGGAGCGGGGGGGTCCTGACTAAATTGCGAGGAAGTCACAGCAGGAGCACCGATCCTGAGTAAATTGTGCGGAAGTATCAGGAGCGGGGGTCCTGAGTAAATTTGGAGGACGTCTCAGGCGGGAGCCGTTGTTGTTGTTGCTATAATCCGGGGGGCCAGGAGCACAGCTTGAGCACAAAGACTTTCCCTGTCAAACAACAGGGCGCGAGCGTCGAAAGGCACACTGCGATTGCGAAAACAACCATGCACCGGTGAAGGGGGATCAACAATAATGATTCTTCAGAAATGCGAATTCAATCATTTCAAAACTGTTCGGCCTTATATGCTCAAGTGTCCAATCGCGCGTATTTCCCAAACCCTCGATAACCGCCCTCTTCGTCTTCGATCGAACCCCTTGTGGGGGGTAGACCTTTCTTCCCTGCAGGCCGGGCCCCAGCAAGCGGCGGGGCGGCCGCGGACCGTCGGCCTGGCCAGCGGCAGCGCTGATCGGCGGGGCGGCCGCGGACCGTCGACCCGACCCCAAAAGGGACGGACAGGGGACCGACAACGACGACGACGACGACGTCGACGACGACGGCGACGACGACGACGACGACGGCGACGACGGCGAAGCGAAAGCGAGAGAGAACGACAGCAGGGCCACGAAGGGCACGAAGTAGGCCACGAAGGGCGACAGCGGGGACACGAAGGGAATGCGTATGGGGCCACGAAGAGTGCGAACGAGCGGGGGCCACGAAGTGCAGATAATGCGGGGCCAAAGAGCAAACTATGGGGCCACTGAAGGTAGCAACTGGGCCACGTAGGACAATGAGGGGGACACAAATGGCGACAGCGGGGCCACGAAGGGCATGCACATGAGGCCACAACGGGCGCGACTCCTGGATGCCTGGGTGTCGGGAGCGCGGCGCTTGGGCAAATTGCAAGAAATTCCAACGCAAGGCTATTCTTCAGTAAGTCGCAAGCAAGTCTTCAGCGAGAGCGCGACTCCAGAGCTCCGGGAGAGCGATTCCTGCAGAAATTCTAAGGAAGTCCCAAGCGAGAGCGCGAATCCCAAATAACATGCGAGGAAGTCTCGGGCGGGAGCGGGGGTCCTGCCTAAATTGTAAGGAAGTCTCAGGCGGGAGCCGTTGTTGTTGTAACCCGAGGGCCAGGGGGCCAGTTTGAGCAGGAAGACTTCCCCTGTCAAAAACCTGGGTGCGAGCGTCGAGGGGCACACTTTGACTGAGAAAAAACAGTATGCACCGTTGGGGGGGATCAACAATAATTATTCTTCAGGAGTGAGAATTCAATCATTTAAAAACTGTTCGCCCTTATCTGCCCGAGTGTCCAATAACGCGTATTTCCCAAACCCTCGATACCCGCCCTTTTCGTCTTCGATCGAACCCTTTTTGGGGGGTATACCTTTCTTCCCTGCAGGCCGGGCCCCAGCAAGCGGCGGGGCGGCCGCGGACCATCGGCCTGGCCAGCGGCAGCGCTGATCGGCGGGGCGGCCGCGGACCGTCGACCCGACCCCAAGAGGGACGGACAGGGGACCGACAACGACGACGACGACGACGTCGACGTCGACGGCGACGACGACGACGACGACGACGACGACGGCGGCGACGACGAGCGAAAGCGAGAGAGAACGACAGCAGGGCCACAAGGACACGAAGTAGGCCACGAAGGGCGACAGCGGGGACACGAAGGGAATGCGTATGGGGCCACGAAGAGCGCGAACGAGCGGGGGCCACGAAGGGCATACGTATACTGGGCCGCGGAGGGCAAGGACGAGGCCACTGAGGGCAGCAACGGGGCCACGAAGGGCAGCGAGGGGGCCACGAAGGGCGACAGCGGGGCCACGAAGGGCAGGAAGGGGGCCACGAAGAGCGACAACGGGGCCACGAAGGGCATGCACATGGGGCCACGACGGGCGCGAACGATCGGGGGCCACGAAGGGCAGATCATGCGGGGCCACAGAAGGCAACGACGGGGCCACTGAAGGTAGCAACTGGGCCACGTAGGACAGTGAGGGGGCCACAAACGTCGACAGCGGGGCCACGAAGGGCATGAACATGGGACCACAACGGGCGCGAACGAACGGAGGCCACGAAGGGCATACGTATACTGGGCCGCGGAGGGCAAGGACGAGGCCACCGAGGGCAGCAACGGGGCCACGAAGGGCAGCGAGGGGGCAACGAAGGGCGACAGCGGGGCCACGAAGGGCATGCATATGGGGCCACCGCGGGCGCGAACGAGCGGGGGCCACGAAGGGCATACATATATGGGGCCACGAACAGCAGCGAGGGAGCCACGAAGGGCAGCGAGGGGGCCGCGAAGGGCTGCAACGGGGCCACGAAGGGCTGCGACGGGGCCACGAAGGGTAGCGAGGGGGCCGCGAAGGGCTACAACGAGGCCACGAACGGCAGCGAGGGGGCCACGAAGGGCTGCAACGGGGCCACGAAGGGCAGGGAGGAGGCCACGAGGGGCTGCAACGGGGCCGCGAAACAAAGCGAGGGGGCCACGAAGGGCTGCAACGGGGCCACGAAACAAAGCGAGGGGGCCACGAAGGGCTGCAACGGGGCCACGAAGGGCAGCGAGATCCTGATTTTTAGGTAATCTGTGAGGGAGTCCTAAACGTGAGCGCGACTCCTGGGTGCCTGGGTGTCGGGAGCGCGGCGCTTTGGCAAATTGCAAGAATTTCTAACGCAAGGACGCTATTCTTCAGTAAATCGCAAGCAAGTCTCCAGCGAGAGCGCGACTCCAGAGCGCCCGGAGAACGATTCCTGAATAAATTGTAAGGAAGTCCCAAGCGAGAGCGCGATTCCTGAATAACATGCGGGGGAGTCTCGGGCGGGAGCGGGGGTCCTGGCTAAATTGGGAGGAAGTCTCAGGCGGGAGCCGTTGCTATTGTAACCCAGGGGCCAGGGGCACAGTTTGACCGTCAAGAATTTCCTTGATTAAAAAAACAGGGTGCGAGCCCCGGGAAGGGCACTTCACCGGACGGACGGGGGGATCAACAATAATTATTCTTCAGAAATGAAAGTTCAACAACGACAACGACAACGACAACAACAACAACAACAACAACAACAACAATTACTAGCACGTGGGGACACTCCGTTCTCACCAGTGCCAGGGTTTTCATAGGAGGCGGGCAATACCCCCACTTTGTGGGGGGGCCGGTTCAAGCTCTACCAAATTTCCAAACGACTCTTCGCCACCACCCACACCCAGCTTCCCGCCCTATGACGTTCGGACACTTCACTTCGTGGCATGCGGACGACCGTGGCTACTATTCAGGGCCCCGCGGCCGACGACGACGGCGTGCGCGCGCGAAGAAAAAACGAATGTGTCCCGCATGGTATTATTTGACAGGGATGATGGCCCTGGCAGGTGCGCAACCGTTGTTGCAGAAGTTCGAAAAAGTTGCTCGCAAAAGCCCGTTTGACAGAAATGTTTAAAAAGTGTTGGGTTTCCTACGAATCCGCAAGAGCGCGCGGGATGAAATTTTGACAAGTTTTTTTTTTTATATATATATATATATATATATATATATATATATATATATATATAATTTAAAAAAATGGTTTTTTAATGTTTTTATGTTAAAATCGCTACGAAAACTCAGGTTTTGGAAGGATTTCGTCTTGCGCGCGCGAATGTCCACTTTACCTTATTTATGGCAAGGGATTCTTGAAGTTTGGTTATGTTAGAACAGGAAATGTCCACTTTAGCTTATTGTTTGCAAGGGAAAGCGGGGGACAACAAAACAACCGGATCTGGTACACCCCGTTTTGCCTGAGACTTCCTCACGAAAATGATGAAAATGAGGCTGCGGCCTAGGCGCGGCGGGGGGGTCGCGCACCAGGGGTCCCAACAATAATTATTCTTAAGAAGAAATAGTGTTCAACAACAACAACAACAACAACAACAACAACAACAACAACAACAACACTCCCACTCGAACACCACTTGTTTCTCGGCTGCGAGCCTTGCCGCCGCCGAGGCCGGCGCTCATGTCGACGACCGGCGTCGGGTCTGGCCTGCCAAGGGGGATGGAAGAGTAGAATGAGGACGAGGATGACGACGACTACGACGACGAGAAGAACGAGGGAGATAGAGGGAGAACGAGGAGGGGGAGGACTGAAAGGAGGGGGAGGAGGCGTCAGAAGAAAAAGGGGCCGAAGAGGGACACAAGAAGATAACGAGGGAGAAGGATGAGGAGCATCAGCAGGACAACGAAGACGAGGACGAGAGAGGAGGACGATGGCTGTGGCCAGGGCTCTTGACCTGCGACCCCATGGACCCAACACAAAGATTGAATACACCGCGTAGCACACGAGCAAAAAAGCACTGGTGCACCTAAACACTGCGGCCACCGATTGCAATCAGCGAGCAAAACCCTGCAGCATCACCTAGCATCTGGGAATGTCATCGCCGACGAAACATTTGGGCACGAAAGCTATACCAGATCCCCACGGAGATGGGAGCGATACGTGGCAAACACACAAAGGAAAGTGAACCGATCGCGGCAGCAGTATCTAGCTGAACGCCCGCGCGCCGTCGCCGTCGCCAAGGCCGCCACTGTACCGCAAGATCCAAGGGTTGCACACGCGCACAGTGGAAACATTCAATGGGGATGAACAGAAAGGTCGGGCCGAAACCATTTCAGGCTGCGGTTGGTTATGGCAGCACGATGAACCGCGCTGCGCCGTTCTACGATGACGAACTGAAAATTGGAGATTACAAGTTGGGTTCGCTCGGCGACCCCCCTCTCGGATTCATACCCAACAGGCAAAAACGATGCCAGTCAGCGAGTACGAGGGAAAACCAATCGCAGTACATAATTCCTGGAAGTGGGATAATGAAGCACGGTCGGCCATTCCCGAACGTCCAACGGAGGAACTACACTCGTTCGGGCCATCCTCATGAAACGTACGAGCTGCACTGCCTTCCTGCGATCGAAGACGAGGCAATCATGGCGCACGCCACTAGGCAAACTCAGCCGTCTTCACCGCAGCCGCCCAGCTTGTGATCAGAGGCTCGGCCTGGTTTGGCAGCTGTGGCATCGAAGTAGCAGGTGGTGCCAGCTGCAGAAAGAGCGAAAGCAAAGCGTTCGAGACCTCACCGTCGACGTAACCCAGTGCGCCGCAGATCAACCCACCGCGCAAAATCCACTAGCAATACCCAGGGTGGCGCCCGAGCAGGCGCACGTGTGGTCTTGCCCATGGGGCACGACCCAAGAGGCGGGGGCATCCCTCGACCTCGTGGATAGCAGGGGGACCAGAAGGAGGAGAATGGGTGGAAGCAGGGTTCGAGCAACACGGTGCTTTCTGTTGTCGTTTTGTTTTCGTTGTCTCCCTTTCTCTTTTCATTATGCATGTGCTGCAAAACAAAATGTGTATATATATGTAATAAATACGTGAGATAGGGAAGCACCGGCGAGCAGGAGAAACAGGACGAAGGTGAAGATAAGGAACGGAGGAGGACCTGGAACGGAGGCGAGGCTCGGTCGTCCGCCAGAGCGCAGGTCGAGCCTGCACCTGCCAGCGCCAAGGGCACGGCAGCCGAGAGGGAGGAAGAAGAGGAGGAAGAGGAATATGCCGAGGAGGAGGAGAAGGATGAGAGCGAACAGGGGGAGAAGGAGGAGGAGGAGCTCGGCACCGGCTACGACAGGCACCACCCCATTCACCGCGCAGCAACTAAACTCCAAACGAGTTAGGGGTCAGGGTCTTCGATGTGGAAGAACACCCTACCATCGGCGTACTCGCGCTCGACCCCCGAGAGACGCAGCTTCGTCCCGAGAGCCGAACCCAAACAGTGCATCGACCCCTGTGCCCGCCCAGACCCTCCCACCCCCTCCCGACGATGATGCTAAGGAACTTCTGGCGCGTGGCGGCACGAGAAAGGCAAGGTCGTCCAAACCCATCTTAGCCGCGGAGAAATCACAGTCTGAGTCCGACAACACGGACGCTTGGCCAACCCGAAGGTATTCTTCGAGGGATGGCGGCCTTGCGAAATCCAAGCCGACTATCGTTCGTTCCCGACACGAGGAACGGACGCGCGAACAATCTGACGCGAGAACTGTCGTGCCACCATGACCACCACCAGCACAGATCGAGCCGCACTAAGTGCAAAAGCCGATGGAACCCTCGGCCCCCCCCTCGAAGTCCGCGACCCCCGCCTCAATGATGGCATGCCCCAGGCCAGGCCATACATGGAGGTCGGGCCACTCGGCCCGCCCCTCTTCACACGCATTCCCATCCCCACCAAAGTTCACCGGACCCGACCCGCCACCCACAGGAGGAGGACGGGGAGGAGGAGGGGAAACCAACTCCTCAGGAAGAGAAGGAACTTAAAAGGATACGCGCCTAGGCCAACCGATACCGACATGATCGACATGCTGACCGTCACCGATCCGAGATTCTTGCTCGGTCGAAAACTTGCACAACAAACGAGGCAGGTCGAAACGCCCAAAGACGACGGCGCGATCGGCGCCGGAAATCCTCCCCAGCGAGGCACCTCGCTTTGCATATTCATCGGACGCCTTGTCGCTTGGAAACTCCAGACGACCGAGCTCCCGATTCCAGAGCGCAGTGGGCGGACACTTTGCGCCTCCGCGCGCCGTCCAGCTTATCAAGGACATGCCGCCACAAATGAGTCCGAGCGCTTCCAGGATTGACCGCGGCCACGGGGTCCGAAACGTACCCGGGGCCCCAGAGCAGACCCCGCACAAGTTGCCCCCTGGGAAAAACGCGGCATGACACACGAGAAAGACCGCCGCGCAGGCCTCACCGTCACGGAACTCCTGGGCAGGAGCATCACAGAGAAGCACGCGCCACCTGATCGCGCGATCCACACTCCCCCGCCCATCCGCCACCGCCACCGCCCATCCCGCCGAACGAATCCTAGGATGAGCTGGCAGGTAGCACGAGCCATCGCAAATACCGACGCACCGCGGCGTCTGGGGGCTGGGAGGGGCGAGCGAACCAACGGGCGGGGTCAGGGAGAACACACTTGGAAAACATCCGCTGGGCCCTGGACGAGAGGAGGCGAATCCGATCCGCCGCCCGACGCAAGCCGGGGCGCATCGCACCCCGACGCAAAACCTCGCGATGTGGGCAATCGAGCCGACGATGGAACAGCGTACCAGAGGGCGCCTGACAGAGCAAGCCAACTGGCAATATATCCTGGCAAGTATCGCGAAGCCGCTGCTGGCACCAATATACGTTGGAGACCCAGCTGCGCAGCGGCGGCCATGACCATTCCAAGCGGCACTCTGCTTAGAGATCAGGTCAAGGGCAGGCTTGAGACACGCGGGGCAACGCCACTCGGCGCCAACGTCAGACTGCCGAACCTGCTCTTCAGAGACGACGGTTCCCTCGCACGCTTCGCGCGCGCGAGAGGCAAGGAAAGCTGGAGGAAACGCTGACATACATCAGGAGCGCCCAGTCTGGTCAATCCACAGTTCGCCGAGGACATCCGACTTCCAGCCTATCCGTTCAGGCGTGAGCACCAGGGCGACAACAGGCTACTTCGCGGATCCCAAGGGCCTCGGTTTGCTAGAAGACTGAAGTGCATCTTCAAAGGCCGAGAGGGGCACCCGCCTCGCGACATTGCGGCGACACCAGACAGACACAAACGATTTGGCGGCACCCACCGCCGTCGACTCGAGAGGGTCAAGCTGCGGGGCCCAGATGAAGAGGAAAGCGAGGCCAGGCTGGAAGGGGCCGAAGGACCTGGCAAAGGCAACCCTCCGAGTCTCGGAGACCTCAGAGCGGAATTCCCCAGACCAGCAACCCGCGCCCCCCGCGCGGCCTCGGCGACTGGGCCCGCCCCGCGCGCCCGAAGCGCCCCCCCCCCCCCCACACACCACACACACACACTCACACACACACACACACACACACACACACACACACACACACACACACACACACACACACACACACACACCACACCCCCGATCTTCGCGAGCTGAGTCGCCGCGGCCGACGACGCCTGGAAGCGCCCATCTTGCACGGGCGCGCGACGGGCCCTGCCATCCGAGGCATCGCCGCCCAAATCGCGGCGGGCGCTGGAAGGAAGGACTCGTCGAAGGGCCAGCCAGGGCCCTCCAGGAGGCATCGAGCTGCTCGGGGCACGAACAGACGAGGCAGGTCTTCGCCAAGTCGAGCGGGAGAGCCAGCTACCCCATCTGGGGCGAAGCGACGGTGGCTGCCTTGACCAACTGCCGAGCCACAGCGCGTGAATATCTCACTGCATGCACCTCGCGGTCGCCCGCTAGGTTCAGCGGCCGACAAACAGGCGCCAAGTGCAATGGCGCGCAACACGCAAAGAGTCATGAGCTTCGCCGCGCCCGTCGCGCAGCTGCAGTTAGCAATCGCGGCGCTGTCGGGCATCGCCGCGCGCGACGCCGCGCGGAGGCGGCGCGCCCTCCATGGCCCGCGGCAGGCGGCGCACAGGCACCGCAGCAGCCGCTCCTAGAGACCGAGATGCTTGACAGCCGAGCGCATCCCACAATGAGAGATGTTCTCATAAACCTTGCGAACATCGCAATGCCGCGCACCGCTGACGGACCCGCGGCGCTTCGCACGTGCCGCCAGAGGGTCGTGGATGCAAGCCGCTGGGTCGGCAGCCGCGTCGCCAGACTTGTCCCAATGGAAGCTGGCGTCCACGCTGGCCTCCCACGCGCGAACTCGACGCCGTCGGACCCTGTGCCACGCGCGAGGCCAGAGGCGCAGCAGGCCTATAGGCCGACGTCCAACATCAAGAGAAGCTCGATAATGAAGACAAGCATGATCGCCCAAAGCTCAAGGACAACAGCCGACCGTCCGAACTGTTGCGACATGGCAGCGAAACCAAAGACCAAAGCGTCAGAAAACTCGCCAATCGGCTGAAGGTGAAACTTGCCCAAGTCCAATCGTATCCTCCTGCTGAAAAAGAGGATGGCCGAACGGACTTGCGGCTCGCTGATCGGCTCAAGAGTCGCCTGCACGTGCCAAACAGAGGCGGGAAGCTCATCCATCCTCGACTCCTTGACATCCACGGCGGCAGCCACCACTGAATAACGCCTTCGACAGCCAGCGAGCCCGCATGCGGCAAATGATCGACGTCACAAGGTAGGGCGCCAGGCAGAGGTTCAACCATCTTCGGCTCGATCAGCTCGCGCGCGATACCGCCGGAGCCCGAGTGGCTGGACTTGCAGAAGTCACGCCACAAAGTAGCCGTCGCTGCCGCGTCGCTCCGCCACCGCATGGCATGGCCAGCGCGCACTCGAGGAGATCCTCGAGCCAGGCCCAGAGAGGACTGTCCCTTTCAGCAAGCCCAAGCCACTTGTCGACAGCCGCAGCACAAAGGGCTTCGGCGTCAGAGACAGCTGCAGGAATGACTAGAACACGAGCCTGCGCGTAGAGGCGATCACGCACCGCCTGCCCCCCCCCCCGCGAGATACGCAGCCGGCCTGCCCCCATCGGAGCCAAGCCTTCCAGATGCGACGAAAACTCCAAACTGCTGCGCCCGTGGAATCGCGAAGGCGCCGCCTCCGCCCATGAACTTCCAAGGGGGGCCTCTTCCACCACGCGAGCGCGTTTGCCGCGTCCACGATGACGAAAGGCAGGCGTCGCATCTATCTACTGGGACCGAATGATGAAAAGCTCCGCGGAGTCGAACCGCCTGGCACAGGCCGTCTGAAGGCGACCCAGCGACTCGTTCAGCTCCGCCAGCTCAAGGGCTTGGCCGACTCGCCTGGCTCACTGGACTTCTTAGCGGCAGAGAAGGGCCGACGAGGGTCCGCAACCCAGGCTGTCGGGTGCTTTCAGATGTCGCTCAATGCGCAACTGACCCTGTCGCGGAACGCGGGCGCCCACATTCCAGAGAGCTCCAATAACGGCAGGCACTGGGAACAGGCCCACGATGGTAGCAACCTCAGAAAGCAAAGCCACATAAATCACCTGTCAAACCAATAGAAATGATCATGTAAAGAGACACCACCAGCAACGCTGATCCTTCACCAAGGTGTATACTCCTCGCAACAATGCGGCGACTCCACTCGGAAGGAACCGACGTGCAACTGAAAACTCCAACGCGCGCGCCGATGCATAACCCAACGCCACGACGGACAGCAAGGCGCCCAGGGCCAGCGCGGCGAGGAGGGCCCAGGGCGAGGTGGCAACCCTGGCCCAAACACCACTGACGAGCGCCTCCAGCTGCCTCGGAATCGGGGAACCTCGTCTCCTTGGTGAAGACCACGTCGAAGCGGCGGCCAGCGGCCGAGTTCCATCCAAGCACCGCGCGCGCTCCACTCCAAGTGTCCCCATTGACAGTGACGGAGCCGCGCGGCAGCCCTGAGGCGCAGAAAGAAGTTGATCAATCTCGAGCACAACGGGCGCCGCGACAAGAAAGGTAGGCGTCCTGCACGACGCATCGCCAAGCGAACAGGCCATGGCCTCCCCAACCGGAACAATATCAGTAACGACCGTGCCCGAAGGCGCTGTTTTCCCCAGGAAAATGTGGGCAGTCGCCGAAACCGAAGACGCCGGCGGGGCCGAAGTGGATGAAAAAGTGGGTAGCGACAAAGAGGGCCACATCAGAGCTGAAGTGCCGCGAGCGCGGGTGGCAGCCTCCTGTGCCGCCTCGAGCAGCGCGCGGAACATCGCCACCAGGTTGTCGAGCTCGGTCCAGTGATAGTTGACAAACTGCTTCCACACATCCTGGGTAAGCAGACGCAGATATCTGATGAAACGATGCCGACGTCGACCACCTCGGTGCCAACCAGCCCGACACGCTTCAGCGACCGCGTCAGCTAGGGTGCCACCCACCCGAGTGGCCCAGCGACGCAAGAAGGCTTCACGCAGCTCTCGCTGGTCACGCAAGTTCAGCACAGTAGAGAACCATTCCTCGCACCACTCTTGCCGGGGGTCAATATCTTCCTGGCGCCCCCGATTCACGTTCCAAATCCAACGCGAAGACCACGATCCGAGGTCCTCCTCCGTGTTCAGCACAGCACGATCAGCACCGCGCTGAGGAGGTGCAGGAATCCCCGGAGGATGGAGCCCCATGCCCACCGGCTCGGAGTCGGCAGCCCCGATGGCTGACAGGCCCAAGCGCTGCCAGTCGCACATCGTGATGAAATGGAAGGTCATCTTGGCCGCGGCGATGAATGTAATACCCCTAGCAAGGCGCGAACCCCGACGGGGCTGGACCTCCACTCCGCCTGCCGAAGGCGAGCCGCAACTGGCTGTGGAGCACTCGAACTTTACCATCATCATCATCATCATCATCAGAATCGTCAGAATCATCATCATCATCATCATCATCATCAGCATCATCATCATCATCAGCAGCATCAGCATCAGCATCATCAGCATCATCAGCATCATCAGCATCATCATCATCATCATCATCATCATCATCATCATGCGGAGGGTCGACACCTCCTGCTGCGATCTCGGCGCGCATCTGCGCCAGGTCAGCCCAAGGCCCGCTGGGGCGGGGGCCACAACAGGCGCCGCAAAGGCTGGCGACGACGGCGCTGCAGGCGCGGCCTTCCCCCCCGCAAGCGTCTGGCCCACAGGCGCCTCGAGCCGCACCAGGGCTGGGCGCGAGCACTGCGGAACCTTCTCGCAAAGCTGGACCGCGAAGCCAGAGAGGTCGGGCACGCACGTGGAAGCCGAGCTCGTCGAGGCCCTGCTCCAGGATCCGTCCAACCCCGTCGGGGTCGAGCTGCCAGAAGGGAACCGAAGACGCCCCCACGCCCAGCAGCGGCTGAGCCAGCGCCACGCCCTGGGCGAAAAAGGGCGCCTGCTGGGACCTGAGCCGCGCCCGCACCTGCTCCTGCTCCGAGTCACGGGCGTCGGTCGCGGAAAGCGCCTGCTGCGCGTCCACCACGCGTTGGCGGCACCCTTCCTGCTGCTTCTTGGCCTTGAGCAGCTGCTTCTCGGCCTCGTCAATATTGCGCAAGATGGTGCGCAGGCGCGCCGCTACTGGCTGAGTGTCGAGCAGGAGCTGCTCGATCTCATGGCGCTCGGTGCGAAGGTCAGCCTGGACCTTCTTACTGATGGCGTCGTCCAAAGACGCGATGGTGCTGAGCTCATTCTCGATAGTGGCCAAGCGGTCTCGATCCGACGGCGCCTCACACTCACCATCGACGTCCCAGCAGGCCGCGGCCTTGTCAGGAGGGGGCTACTACTGCTGTACCTTGTTGAGCTCGCTCTCCAACCGCTTGACCTGCGCCTAGCACTTGGCAAGCTGGCCGTCGCTGCTGGAGGGAGGGACCTTGCCCCACGCCGACTGCAAGACCCAGAACGGCTTCTTGGACGGCACCGCGGGCGTGACGTGTCTACCGAAACAGACCGACTTCGCCAGGCCGCAGGAGAAACACGTCTTGTACTCCGTAAAATTGAAAAAGGCCTTGCCCCACTTGGGATGAACACAGGATTTGTAGTACCACTTCCGGGGCGATTCCTTTCCCAAAGAGCAGCACAAGAAGAAACTGGGGCTCGCCAAGCCGCACGGTCACCCGAGGGCCTCAAATGGGACTGCTGAACCCTCGAGCGCCGTGGGACCCCCAAGTGAAATGAGAGACTGCCGCGGACTAGCGGTATCCTTTCAGGCACGGAGGCGCGGAGCGCCCAAGGTGCAAGCATCTTGAGCCAAAACGGCCACGGAAGAGGAGGAGGAGGAGAAAGAGGAGGGAAAGGATGACGAGGAGAAGGAGGAGGAGGGAAAGGAGGAGGCCCCTGGCCTGCCGAGCGGCGGCAGCCCGTCCAGGCCCGCGTCCTGCTCGCCGGCGCTCAGCCGCTGGATGAGCTCCTCAGTGTGCAGGGAGGGGGGCAATCATAATAGCAATACGAAAAAAAGATACGTAGAATACGCATATTACTGAAACATTATGTTGCGATCAGTCAAAAATAAGTGATAGTAAGATGAAAGAGACGAAGAACACGACGACTTACAAGGCAATGAGGCTCGCTGCGTTCTCGATCGGGGGGGAGGGGGATGTGGGCGAGGAGGACGAGGAGGAGGAGAGGCATGGGCGTTGCTTGTTGTGTTACCCATCAGCAGGGTGGAGGGGAGCCCCCGAGGAAACGAGAGAGGTCCTTCGACAAGCGAAGACAACGAAACTCGGGCACCTCAAGATGTTTACCGTTTTGTTCCCCTCCTCCTCCTCAGCCTCCTCCTCCTCTTCCTCCTCCTCCTCCCCATCTCCTCATCCTTCATCTCATCCCTCTCCTCCTTTCCTCCCTGTCTCACACCGAGGCTGATCGAAAAGGCGGGCCGGGCGTTTCGCATCATACCTCCTTACGGTTTATGATCCCGAATGTTAACGCTGGCAACAGCTTCACAGGTGGAGGGCAGGTGGTTTTTAAAACGTGGCTCTCGCCTTAGCGCCGCACGCATTCATTTCAAAAACGCAAGAGCCTTACGAATGTGAAGGCGGGTCGTCTCACAATGTAGTTCTCGCCGTAGCGTCGCGCACATTCGTTGCAAGAAGCTTACTGATTTAGGACGGCTGCTTTCAGATTGTGCTTTTCGCCTTAACTCCGCGCACACTTGTCGCAAACATTGCTAAATATTCAAAGATTGAGGGCGGGTCAGTTTCAAAGCGTAGTTCTCGCCATAGCCTGGCACACTCTGGCTTTCCCAGACATCCTGTGGTGTCGGGTCTTCGTTTTGAAGAGACAGCGCCCCGCGTTCCGTCCTTCCTTGCCGCTGCCACCTCCGTCCTCCCACCGTCGTCGTCATCATCATCATCATCATCAACAACAACAACATCGTCAACATCATCGTCATCATCATCGCCATCAGCATCATCGTCATCATCATCGCCATCGCTATCATCATCCTCATCATCATGGCCGTCATCATCATCATCATTATTATCATCATCATCGTCATCATCATCATCAGCAGCAGCATCATCATCATCACCATCGTCATCATCATCATCATCATCATCATCATCATCATCATCATCATCATCATCATCATCATCATTATCATCATCATCATCATCAGCAGCAGCAGCATCAGCATCGCCATCGCCATCACCCCCATCATCGTCATCATCATCGCCGTTATCGTCACCAATATCGCCATCAGCGTCGACACACCCCTCACACGTTCCGTGGCCCCATAGGGAGCTCCACCGAAGGCCCCGATGACAGGGCTCGCATGCGTCCCCCCGCCCATTTCGGCATACCCCTCACATGTGTCGTGCCAAAAGCCCCAGTGGCAGGTTTCGCATGCGTCCCCCCGCCAGTTTCGGCGCCCCCCTCACACGCTTCGTGGCCCCATAGGGAGCTCCACCGAAGGCCCCAGTGGCAGGGTTCGCATGCGTCACCCCGCCCATTTCGGCACACCCCCCACACGGTTCGTGGCCCCACAGGGAGCTCCACCGAAGGCACCAATGGCAGGGTTCGCATGCGCCCCCCCGCCCATTTCGGCACACCCCTCACACGCTTCGTGGCTCCATAGGGAGCTCCGCCGAAGGCCCCAGTGGCAGGGTTCGCATGCGTCCCCCCGCCCATTTCGGCACACCCCTCACACGCCTCGTGGCCCAATAGGGAGCTTCACCGAAGGCCTCAGTGGAAAGTTTCGCATGCGTCCCGGCGCAAATTTCGGCACACCCCTCACACGCTTCGTGGCCCCGTAGGGAGCTCCACCAAAGGCCCCAGTGGCAGGGTTCGCATGCGTTCCCCCGCAGATTTCAGCACACCCCTCAAAAACTTCGTGGCCCCATAAGTAGCTCCACCGAAAGCACCAGTAGCAGGGTTTGCATGCGTCCCCCCGCCCATTTTCGGTAAACCCCTCACGCGCTTTGTGGCCCCATAGGGAGCTCAGCCGAAGGCACTAATGGCAGGGTTCGCATGCGTCCCCCCGCCAATTCCGGCTCACCCCTAGCACGCTTCGTGGCCCCGCAGGGGGAGCTCCACCGAAGGCCCCAATGGCAGGGTTCGCATGCGTCCCACCGCCCATTTCGGCACACCCCTCACACCCTTCGTGGCCCCGTAGGGAGCTTCACCAAAGGCCCCAGTGGCAGGGTTCGCATGCGTCCCCCCGCCCATTCCGGCACACCCCTCACACGCTTCGTGGCCCCGTAGGGGGAGCTCCACCGAAGGCCCCAGTGGCAGGGTTCGCATGCGCCCCCCCGCCCATGTCGGCACACCCATCAAGCTCTTCGTGGCCCCACAGGGAGTTCAGCCGAAGGCCCCAGTGGCAAGGTTCGCATGCGTCCCCCCGCCCTGTTCGGCACACCCCTCACACGCTTCGTGGCCCCGTAGGGAGCTCCACCGAAGGCCCCAATGGCAGGGTTCGCATGCGCCCCCCCGCCCATTTCGGCACCCCTCACACGCGCCGTTATCGTAACCATTATCGCCATCAGCTTCGACACACTCCTCACACGTTTCGTGGCCCCACGGGGAGCTCCGCCGAAGGCCCCAGTGGCAAGGTTCGCATGCGTCCACCCACCCATTTCGGCACACCCCTCACGCGCTTCGTGGCCCCATAGGGAGCTCCGCCGAAGGCTCCAGTGGCAAGGTTCGCATGCGTCCCCCCGTCCATTTCGGCACACGCCTCACGCGCTTCGTGGCCCCGTAGGGAGCTCAACCGAAGGCCCCAATGGCAAGATTCGCATGCGCCCCCTCGCGCATGTCGGCACACCCCTCACACGCTTCGTGGCCCCATAGGGAGCTCCGCCAAAGACTCCAGTGGCAAGGTTCGCATGCGTCCCACTGCCCATTTCGGCACACCCCTCACACGCTTCGTGGCCCCATAGGGAGCTTCACCGAAGGCCCAATTAGCAGGGTTCGCATGCCTCCCACCGCCCATTCCGGCACACCCCTCACACGCTTCGTGGTCCCATAGGGAGTTCCGCCGAAGGCCCCAGTGGCAAGGTTCGCATGCGTCCCCCCGCCCATGTCGGCACACCCCATCACGCCCTTCGTTGCCCCGTAGGGAGCTCCACAAAAGGCCCCAATGGCAGGGTTCGCATGCGTCCCCCCGTCCATTTCGGCACACCCCTCACACGCTTCGTGGCCTTGTAGGGAGCCCCACCGAAGGTCCCAGTGGCAGGGCTCGCATGCGTAACCCAGCCCGTTTCGGCACACCCCTCACGCGTTTCGTGGCCCCATAGGGAGCTCCGCCGAAGGCCCCAGTGGCAAGGTTCGCATGCCCATTTCGGCACACCCCTCACACGCGTCGTGGTCCCGTAGGGAGCTCCACCGTAAGCCTCAGTGGCAAGGTTCGCATGCGTTCCCCCGCCCATTTCGGCACACTTCTCACGCACTTCGTGGCCCCATAGGGAGCTCCGCCGCAGGCTCCAGTGGCAAGGTTCGCATGCGTCCCACCGCCCATTTCGGCACCCCCTCACGCGCTTCGTGGCCCCGTAGGGAGCTCAACCGAAGGCCCCAATGGCAAGGTTCGCATGCGTCCCCCCGCAAATTTCGGCAGACACCTCACACGCTTCGTGGCCCCATAGGGAGTTCCGCCGAAGGCCCCAGTGGCAAGGTTCGCATGCGTCCCACCGCCCATTTCGGCACACCCCTCACACGCTTCGTGGCCCCATAGGGAGCTCCACCGAAGGCCCCCATGGCAGGGTTCGCATGCGTCCCCCCGCCCATGTCGGCACACCCCTCACGCGCTTCCTGGCCCCGTAGGGGGAGCTCCACCAAAGGTCCCAGTGGCAGGGCTCGCATGCGTCCCCCCGCCCATTTCGGAACACCCCTCACGCGCTTCGTGGCCCCGTAGGGGGAGCTCCGCCGAAGCCAACAATGGCAAGGTTCGCATGCTCAGGGGCTTCGTGGCCCCATAGGGCGTCCCGGCGGCAAATTTCGGCACACCCCTCACGCGCATCGTGGCCCCATAGGGAGCTCAGCCGGAGGTCCTAATGGCAGGGTTCGCAGGCGTCCCCCCGCCCATTTCGGCCGCGCACTGGGCTTGGGCCACGCACGGCCACGCGCGGAGCTTGGGTCACCGCAGGCCCCCCCCCCTCTGTCTCATATCCTTCGCGGCAATCGCAGCTGCATATGGTTGGGTCCTTCGTTAGCCGATTTTCTTACATTTGTAAAGGAGCTTCGCAGATTTGCAGAGGGGACATCCCAGTAGAAGTTTACAAATCTCTCGCTGCTGAGCCAGGGCACTTGCAGTGGTTGCTCGACATCTGCAATGCCGCGTGGGTGGAGAAAAACCTTCCGGATGATTGGTGCAAGTCTCATGCGAGCTTACTCTACAAGAAGGGTGACCCAGCAAATTGCGACAACTACCGGCCCTTGTCGCCTCAATGCGTCGCCATGAAAGCATGCTCCGCCATGCTCAAGCAGAGGCTCCTGGACGTGGGCGTGGATGAGAGATTGTGGGCGTCCCAATTTGGTGTCCGACCTGGTCGCAGCACCGAGCACGCCATCTATGTTGCCTGGAGGCGCATATAAACAGCCAGAGCGAAAAAAGGAGGGGCTGTCACCCTGGTGGCGCTGGAATGGAAGAAGGCATTTGGCAGTATACACATAGAGAGCCTGCTGGACGCATTGCGGCGGATTGGCGTTCCATCTGAGTTCCGAGTTCCGGGAGATGGTCGGTGTGATGATGGAGAGAACGATGTTCGTGGTGAGGGAATGCGACAACCAGTCCGCTCCCAGACCCCAGCTCTCTGGGATCTCACAGGGTTGCACCCTCAGGCCGCTGCTGTTCGTCCTGATCATGACTGTGCTCTTGCACGATGCCGCCTCGAAGCTTACCAGTGGAGCAAAGGAGGCGCACGTCAAGGGCGACTTGTCCGAGTGCGTTTACGCAGACGACACGCTTTTGATCGGCTC